TAAACAGTCATAAATTGTGCAAGTTCAATAAATAACAAAGTCACACGACATTAGAAAGGAGCTTTACTTTAAACAGTTTTTATTTATATAAAATTTAACACATGGCATTCAACTTAAGAAAACATTTAGGGGAAACCGAGGTAATTTTCCACAGAGGTTTCTGATGTTGACTTGCACGATGTAAGAGGTGCACGATGTTGACTTGCTTATGATGTATCAATTAGATGGTGTATTATAATGCATCAACTATGATGCTTCAAACTGGTTAAAGGAAAATTAAATTGTCATTTTACCATATTCAAACAAAACAGTCAAATGACCATACATAAGATGGTAATCAAACTGTAAACAGTGAGAAACTATGTTTATTAACCGCTTTCACCTAATACGGTTAAACAACCAGAATTTTATTACACCAACTACGCCCACCTATTGAAGCCACCTAGTTCCTTGCTACTGCGTATATATTGTAGCCAATACGCTAATCTGCCAGCCTCATGACCGAGAGAATTGGGGATCGCAGCGATCACATCACAATATTTCTTCCATTCCCTACAACACTTGAAGAGTTTCCAGTATTCTGCACTCTCTAAAGCCCATTTTCTAATGAAGTGCCTAGCTCCTATGTCCAGTTAAGTTTCTTTTTTACGTTTTTGGTACCATGCTTGTAGCAAATGGTTAAAAAACCGTATAATTTTATATTTGCGTTCTTATAACCATACTAGTTGCAAATGGTTTCGAAACCATAAAAGTACGAAATTTTTATTTACCGTAAACTTTACTTATGGACCAACTGCTGTCAGTTATTTTACCATAATTTTAGAATAAAAATTTTAACACTGCAGTATAATAAGTTATATAATTAATTATAATGTTAATCATTTATTAGGACTATTTAGTTTGGACTTTTACTATTTATTTTGTATATTTTTATTTTTAAAACACGCTTTTTGCTGGTAATAACTTTGTATTGAGTAAGGATTATTTTATAAAATCGCATAAATTAAATTTTAGACAGATTTAATGTTAAAAATTCTACATGAATGCTCTAAAATTTAACATGCTTTCAAATGATATTTGCTGTCTCAGACTGAGTAAGCGAGACTGCCACATTTAGCAAAAACTCAAGTTCAGGTTGTATTTGATTTGAAACATATTTTAAACAATGTCTGTTGAAACCTGCGATTTTAAATAAATAACTCTAATAGAACACTCCAGCTTCCAAGAGTGCTTATCATGCTCATGATACTTTCGTATCTTCTATTGCAAATGATCAATTTGCCTCTTTTTTATTTTTCTTAATGTTTCTAAACTGAATCTTAATTTAATATTAAACTGGTATATCTAGATTTTTCGTACATATAGTCTGTTTAGGTGTTACATTACACCCATGTGACATATCGTATATAACAATGAATCTCATTTTCATTCAGGGTAGCGCAAGCTCTAAGAACATTCCAGAATGACGTCACAGCAACTTTTTTTATGCGCTTCTCGTTTACCGAGATATGATAGATCCATCTATTAACTTTAAAACGAAATTATGGATTCCTAGAGATGAATTCGAAAACTGTATAGTTAAAACTCTTTATTTTAACACTCTGAGGCGGATGAGACGACAGCATCTCTTTTAAATAATTTTTTTGACGCTCAAATTGCAAGATAAAATGTATTTCGGTAATTTTCAATAATAAAAAAACAGTCTTATAGTTACTAAAAAAATCTGTTAGATTAGCGGAACTGTTTTCTACTAAAATATACGGGGAAAAATCCATTTTTAAAAAATTATCAGTAATTGATTTCGTAAATTGAAGAAATTTTAATGATAAAAAACTGTTTCTCTCAGACGCAAATAAATGCAAATTTGAAAAATTATTGTATGTAAGTGAGTCATAGTTGAAAGATTTTACATTTAACGCAGAAAAAGACATCGATATTTCACGCTGTATTTCACAACCATAAATTTTTGAAGTGCTAAATATAATATTTTTCACTTATTTTGACCTAAATTAATGCAAAATAATGAAAAAAGTATGAAAAATTTGTTTAATAAAAATTCCGCGTCAAAAGGTAAAAAAATAAAGGAAAACAGCGTTACTGGCAAAAATATTTGTTTAAACTTGTTGTTTTTACACCATTTTTAGTGATTATATACATGTCCTGTTTAAAATTCCGAAGCTTAAAAATGTCAGTCGCTGCTCTATCATTAAGTGGAAATTTTTAAAACATATCTGACTATCTTCAAAACTTTGATAAATATGAAATCCAACTACAAATAACTAAGTTAATTTCAATTGACAGTGAACTAATATCGTTTATTATCCTTTGTTTAAAATATTTCAAATCACGAGGAGTATACTTGTGTCAAAATAGTTAAAAACTGGTTACACTAAAAATACATGCAAAAGTAGATATTTTTTGATGATAATGAAATTATATGAAATTTTGAATGATACGGTGCTTTTAAAGAGATTGCACCCAAAAATTAAAAAAATAAATAAATACTATGCTGAAATACCGAAATGTGTTTCAAATAACCTCGGTTTCCTATACAATTAAAATTCATCATGAACAACTTACATACTAGTCAAAAGATACAGATCACGTTGTAATTTCCAGTAGCATAAAATACGACGATTAAAAACATTAATATCAAATTACAACAGTTTGAATTCCACATAACAGAAAGAAGACAGCAATATCAGTAAAGAAATTGAGGGAAGTTCTTAATAAAAAGAATATCTTTAATTTTAATATAATTGATTCAAAGTGTGTCTGAAAAATAACTTTGAGTTATAAATTCAAATTAAGAATTTATTCCTTTTCAGCTTCTTTCGAAAAAATTAATTCTAATTATACTAGAAAAATTAGTAAGTAATTTAGCGGAAGACTTTCACATCAGATAAAAACGTACTCAAAAGCTTATTGCAGTCAAAATTCAGTTTAAGTGAGAGAAAAAAAAAACAGTCTCGATATTTATAACTTCATTGATTATCTGTCAAGTAAAAATATCGAAAAAACAATTCCAAAGTGTCCAAATAAGTGCAGACTTTCTTCGATTTTTAAAATTACGCTTGTAGTTTCTAAATTAAGTTTGAATCATTTCAACAATCATCCAATTTAAAGAATTCTAAAATTTATTGTTTGTTTAACGCTAGAATGATCGGTCATTTTGACATTACATCAACTTCGAGAAGCGCTAAGTCCTGAAATAATTTTAGCAGCTTTGTTGAATTTTGTGACTTTTTCTAATATTTTGGGCACTTTAGAAGCATTGAAATAAAATTTTATTAGAATATATAATGAGTGCATAAAGTGACGATTTGCCTAGAACGACGATTTGCTGTCAAAGTGACCAATATAGAGGTTTGAGCGCGATTTTTTTTACAAAGAAAACCCCCCTCCTACTCGCTGCTGCTCTGCATCCCCTCGTTATTTTTTACGCAATTGTCAATTGGTTCTGTTCAGATCGCTTCGAGGTATAAGCTCGTAAATAGTTTCTTTTCCAACCATCTGATAAAGAGTAAATTTTTGACAAAAACCAAATTTATATTTTATAGCTAGGAAAACCAATAAAATTTAATTAGCAACTCCCGCCATTAAAAATTACGTGCGTTAAAAATTTATTTAGTAAATGAGAACAAAGACTATGAAATTTGAATTACATTTCTGGTTATTCCGTTGAAAACATTTTTCCACTAAAATTAAAAATTAAAGTTTTAATGTAAAAGGACACTGTCTGTTAAGAAGCAGCTTTTTCAGTGTTGCTAATTATCGAGTAATTCAAAAACTGCAGATTATTTAGCAAATCAAATAGAGAAAAACGAAAGAAATCTATGCAAGGGTAAAAAAATAAGGACAATTACATTTACTTAATGTAAAAGTTAGTTTCAACATCGACTGACAACACAAATTACGGAAAACAAAAAGCTGAATAACAATGTTTCTGATAAATACTAGACCATTCCAAATGAATAATTTTTCCTCAGACTCCAGCTTTTTTTCTTGTAAATACTGATTATTTTGGAAATATTGTTTTATAGTTTTTCTCAGGGTTTTTATAGTGTTGTTTGGAGATTTTATTTCCAAGTTCAGCAGAAATTCAAACTTGAGTTCATTTTATTTTTTCTTTCTTTAACCTTTTAGTGTTATTTTGCTGTGCGTCTCTCAGAGTAGGTTTGTTAAATGAAAATCAGAAAATGTAAGTCCAAAGAAAATCATATATGTGAGAAAGTTCAATGTGGTCGTAACTTAACTTCGAAAAAAAAAGTAATCCCCCTCACTTTGTAACGAACCACTGATTTAATATATTTGATTCACTAGCAATTAAAACTAAATTCTCCGGAAATACAACTGTTGTGTTATATAAATGACTTACTAAAAAAGTACGCAAATATATTTGGAACACTTTGAATAAAATATACACTTAAGAATTATTTTGAAAGATCTATTGCATTCCTATTCTTTGATCAGGCAGTAAAAATGTTAAGAAGCTGCGTTTGAATGATGCGTGGGGTAAATATAACGCAGCTTTTACCGGGAGAGAATTAAGCCTGAAAAAACAATAACAAAACTATGACAGTAAAAAAATATGAACAAAAAAAAAAGTTAGCACAAATAAATTCGATATACTTGCTTGTTAACAAAAGGATTTTTTTAAAGTTATTTTAATTACAAAAATATAAACTTCTGAAAGCTGCCTTTTAAAGACCAAAGCCACAAGCTGGAGCACCAAAAGACAAAATGCAACCATTTTTATGTATTATACACTTTGAAATTCACTTTTCATTCCTTTTAAAATACATTTTCTTTTAAAAACGTTTCACTGTATTTGAGCAATTGCTGGAAACAGAACGAATAACTGATTGCTTTTAAAAGTAACGATTACTTTAATAACGAATAACTGATTGCTTGAAAAAATATGAATAAGAAGGAATGTAATGAAAAATATAACTCCATAAATTACTCTGTTGATTTTCTTTCAAAGAAATAATTTTTCATTCATGAGGAGTGTATAATTTTAACGTAAATTTCTATGAAACTTCCGGATTTTAATTGCCACTTAAAATTAACAAAATACAGTTTTATATAAACAATGCTTGTAGTTGTCGAGTTAAAACCATTAGGACCAACACACATAACAATCCGACATGAAGTTCTGTTTGTTTAGCACCTATAAGAAGAAATTGTAGTTAAAATACGTGTCTCTGCTTCAAACTAAATAACATATTTGTAATAAAATGTAATTTTTACTTCTGTGTATATTCCTTATTTCTCCCTACAATGTAAAATATACCGGTTAAAATTACGGTATAAAAAACGGCACTCTGGATGCATCCGTAAACTCTATTTCTACGGTAAATTTAATAGTAGTATTTATTTAATTAGAGTAATTATTACTGTAAAAATTACGGTACATCAGATTTTAAAATAAACACAGAAAAACAAATTGCAATAAAATGCAATTCGTTTTTCTGTGTACATTCTTTACTTCCTTCTACAATGTAAAATATTCCGTTTAAAATTACGGTATAAAAAACAGCACTCTGGGTGCATCCGTAAAATCTATTTTTATGGTAAATTTAATAGTAATACTTATTTAATTTCAGTCATTATTACTGTAAACATTACGGTACATCAGATTTTAATAAAAAATGAATTTTATGGTAAGAAGTATCGACACCCTGAGAGCTGATATTTTTTACTATAACTTGATCCAGAATTTTTTACAGTGTACCTACTTCACAATCAATCAGCTCCGAAAAATAATTATTTTTTATTCGATGTCACAAATTTTCATACAAGTATTTTTTATTTGTTTTAGTTATTTGAGATGGAACAGAACTCCTTCCTTTTCCAAAAATAGGATTTCTAAAAGTTAAGAAAATATTTGATTATTAAATGCCAATGTATCTTGCAAAGAACAGGTAAGTTTAGTTTTTTTTCACCCTCTCTTTCCTCAAAATTCACAACACACTGTCCTGATTTAGATTCTAAATTGCTTTACAGCATGTCACTGAAGTTTAATTTAATTAAAATCACTTAAAGACCCTAACAGTATTACCATTAGCTTAGAAAGTTACCACATACTTAACCAATGAAACTTGAGCTATAATTGGAAAACTGGTTTGATTTAAAATTTTTATTAGAGGCATTACGATAGATATGTTCGTCACAAGATATCTACAAATCCCCAAACACCCCTTATTGTTGGGACCTAGGTTATAAATCTAATTTTGGTAATACCGAAATTTTCCTATTCTTGAAAAGACAGCTATTATTAACCTCTTAAGTCTTGTTTCATTCATGCCAACGCTGATTATATAGTGATTGTGATATCAGATCAGTCCAGTCAGCCATGACTGTTCAGCCTTCAGCCCAGTCAGCCATGATCAGATCAGCCATGGCAGTATATTCTGCCCTGTTTAGCCTCCTTCGGCTACTACCGAATCTCGTTTTTCTCTCAATAATTTTCTTTTTACTTTTTTGCTGTAAGATGTGCATTTTTTTGTTTCTAACTACTTTCTGTTTTTTTTCTCATTCACACATTGTCTTCATAACCAGAGAGGCCTCATGTCTCCAAAACGAACGTTAAAACGCGCGAAAGTAATGGAATGACTCCAAGTGAAATTCATTAATATGCTGCTAATAAACGCTATAATTTTTATTAGATGTATAACACTTCTGTATCTTAGACGTTGAATATTTATTCCTTAACTTTTTGAAGCTTTTTACCATTACCTTTTGCGATACAATTTTATAAAACATGATAGATTTTTCTTCTCTGATAATTAGTATATAAATTAAGTTACATTTGACATTCTTGTTTTATTGCAGATATGAATGTCTTTAGTAATATTTATATCTTGTTTCCTTAGAGACAATAGTTACACACAGAAATTATATGATCCTAGGAAAAAATTGGGCTCACACTTCAGTAATTTTATTAGTTCAGTAGTTTAGTTAGCAATTTCACGAAAAAAAACTTCTTTTTAGAGGAAATTTTTAATTTTCTATTTTGGTGATTTGAAACAAAAACTGTTTAATAACTGAACTTATGGCTCATGATACAAACGCAGATTAACCGCACGTTTGCTAACGTTGATCACTAATAATATCTAAGTTAGGTAACGATTTTTATACATAGTTATTAGACTTTTGTTTGATAATAAAGCAGCCCTTGTATTTATTTTGCCTATTAACTGCCATGAATAACCTAAATAGAAATAAATCATTTTAATTGAGAATTAAAAATAACGCAATGAACTCATCAACCACGAGAAATAAAATGATTTGTAGAACAAACTGAAAGTTGCGAAGATGCGTTCCATTTTATATATACTATATTTTTGAACTATATTTTGCTATATTTTTATATAGGTACTATATTTTTGAATTGCATAGAAAATTATAATTTTAATTGATTATAGCTAACTACTGAGGTTAAAAAATACTATTTTACCTGTAGCTCTGATTTCTTTTATTGAAACAGCACGCATCTGGTTTATCGTAGCAACACACTTCAGAATTACTTTTCCATTATGTAGAACATCTGGTTTGAACCTAAATCTGAGTGCTAAGCTTGTGCTTTCTAATTGGTCGGGATATACTACAGTTTCTTGGTCGGACAACTCAGATGGAGCCTATAAATATAAAAAATAAACAAAAATAAACAGACCAAAAACTTTTTAATAAATTCAGGCAGTTGTATAATAATTATAAGTACTACAATCATTCTCATCGAATTTAAAAAACAAATCTTTTATTCCTTTTTTATAAACATAATTTAGTTGGTATAATATACCATTATAGAAGCATATCAAACAAAGATTTGATGATGTAATAAAATTTAAAAGCTAAATCTGTTAATTCAATATAATAGTTATTCTTCGGAAAAATCCCGTTACATTAACCCAATAATTGTTATAAGCGAGACATAGACTCCCGTAGACGCAATGTAATTTTAACTCCCATTAGAAAATATCCACACTGAAGTCTCGTCATTTGAGGTTCAATCTTTCGCTCGTTTCTCGTCAATTATACCAATCCACTTGTCTTGATGTTATCGCAAATTAAATGCGGAATCTCTTAAAAAATTAATTTGAAAAACACAAAATGTATGGACAAAATGTTAGCAAAATATGGATTAATTTATAATGGCAATTAAAAATATATATTACGAATGGCATGAAGTCTGTATACGTTCAGTTAATTCAATGGATGTATACGCATATCTTGTGAATTTCTTTTCACATCTTTTCATCAGAGCCGGGGTGGCTCAGGGTATAGAGCGTTCGCCTTCCAATGAGGTGAACCAGGTTCGAATCCCAGTGGTGCATGGTCGCTAGGATTTCCTCACCCGGCTCTCACCAACCACAGTGCTGACGTAAAATATCCTCAGTGGTAGACGAATAATGGAGACCCTTTGCTGTCATGCTAATAGTAGGAGGTTTTCGTGGTTTTCCTTTCCATGTATCGCATGTTTTCTTCTCCAAGTGGGTTATTTCCATCAAAAAACTAATTCCATCTGAAGCAAATTTCTCCCAATACTTAATACAGGAGTGTTTTTTCTTTGTCTTCTGGATTGGGGTCGAAACTACAAGGCTACGAAGTTGAACGTTGGTAGTCGTAAACCCAAAATTGGGTCAGCTGTTCAACGGAGGTAATAAAATAAAGTCTCTTCATCAATCATACTTTTCTTGTTGGAAATTTTACTCCCTTTTCGTAAAATACTAATCCTCATGGGTGATCTATTTCGCGAGTTAAAACATGTGATTCAGTATGTTATTTATCGATATCAACTGTCCCAAACAATCATATTATTTTCATCCTATGGTTCTAAACTCTTTGGTTACCGTATACCATATTGTACCATCATCTGCAGTCCACTTGTTGTACAAGTCGTAAGCAAAAGATTAATCTAAAATATTAATTTAATAGCTACTTTATTGTACATACTAACTGTAAGGATCCACGGGTGTAAGGATTAGCATTTGAATTTGTAGAATAGCGGATGCGAGGATAAAACTTTTTTTTAGACTGGAATGGGTAAAAAAGGTTGGTGAATGAATTTCATGTCCTTACACTAACAGAAAAATATTTTATTACGTTTTATCCAATATTCTGTTACATAATTGTCATTAAAGTAGTCTAGTATTTTTAGCTACGTGGCCTCTTTTTGCTAACTTGACAAGTGATATATTACGAGGCTATGGAGTTAAAAATCAGTTGACGTGAACTCAAAAAATTAAATTGGACGTTCAAAGACAAAAAATTTAATTTTTCTTAGGATTGGTGGTATAATAATGGACACTTGATTGATTTCCCATTCCCGATAATCCATCGCTTCAAAGTTCAGATGTGGAATGCTATTATATTAAATATATATTAAACATCGAAAATCAAGATAGAAATTCGATTTTTTAAGTTTCTTATTCAGTTAATCTTGACGGACAGCAAAGAGGAAACCAATCCTCACGGCGAGAAGAATATGGCCTGAGTAGACCAAGTACGTACTTATTTGAGTGGATTACGGTGATATATATTTATTTATTTTTTTGCTAAATATCTAGACCTGATAGCACAAGCATTTTACTACACATCTTCAGATATATTGATGAAAATATACTAAGTCCCCTTTTATAACTACGGTCTCACCTTAAAATTATCTGCCTCTTCTATCTATTCTCCCGGTCTATATCTGTTGTAACTGTCTGCTAAGATTCCAATAGCATCATTTAAACCAATTAGATGTCGCTTACTTTGCTCATTATAATCTGTGAAGAATCAGTAGTAACCTGACAAATTTGCTCTAAATGTTAAAGACAATTAATTTTAGGAAAATAACCGATTGCTTTTGACAGCATAAGAGCTTAAAACTGCACTAAACTCATGGGTTGAGCAGTGAAATCAGAATTCTATGATTGTCCTTAAAAATTGGAAATCCAAAAACGAAAATATTTGAGAATGCGATATATATATAACAATTTACTTGATTAAAAAATTTCAATCGCTTCAAAAATATATAGATTGTACATATCAGCTTAAATGTTTCAAGCGCTCATAAATAAGCAACCACTTGCATGAATTACCAGACATTATTTTATAACCGTCGTTGACCATTCGAGCCAATTTTGGGACCTACTACTAATGTTCTACACCGTAGGCTTGTAAGTTTGAATTCAGAAGACAAGGAAACTCCAGACTCAAGTATTGGGAGAAATTTATCTTCGTGGAGATCTTTTTGATGGAACTAACCCACATTTGAGTAACATGGAGAGGAAAACCACATAAACCTCCCAAGGTTAGTCTGACAGAAAGAGAACAGTAACCCATAATCCGCTTACCACTGAGGTTATTTTATGTCAGCAATGCGGTCTGTGTGAGCCAAATGTGGAATTTGTATCCACCAGCCATTGCTGGGATTCGAACATGATTCACCTCATTGGGAGGTGAACGCTCTATCTCCTGAGCTACCACGACTCTGTCAGACATTATTCAGACGAAAAAAAGTGATTTGAATTATAAAACGTAAAGTTGCCTAGCAAAAGTGGTGAGAAGAAAAACTAGAAAAACCTGAGCAGCCGAGAATGAATCAAAATAAAGATGATATTACATTTTCGCCCACTGATATTATAAAAGAGTATTATAATGACAAATATTACTTACTAATTGATCATTGATGTACCATTTTAATTCTGGGGCTGGCTTTGATTTACCAGAATTGCACAAAATCGAAATATTATCACCTAATTCATATTCAGATTTTTCAGTCATTAGTATTGGACCATCCGAAGGTGGAACTGAAACAAAACAAAGTTGCTTTTAGATTAACAAAAATATTTAAAAAAATAATATCATTAAAATACACTTTAGGAATAAAATTACGAAAAGCCAAATCAACGAAATGAATTAGGCATTAGTTAATTTCGCAAGGAAAAACTCTTATTAAATCTAACACAACAATAACATTTATGTATCATGTTCCAATTCTTTTTCAGTATTTCACTTCAGATGTTTTTGAAAATTAATATTGAATTGTTATATTTCGTTGAAAAATAATATGCTTCATAATTATATCTACCCCATATTATTATTGCGTACTATTATAACCTGCATATCATAACCTTCATATTACAACCAAACGCATTCGAAAGGAATGGGTCAAATATAATTTGTATACAAACTGAACTTTGATGCAATTTAAAAGAGATATCCAAAAAAAATCAAAAAGTACTAAGTCAATTCGTTGCACATTGCTGGTGAATTACTGGCTTCATCCTTAAATTATCGATGTCTGTTGCATTGTGTACTATGTGTATTAAAAGCAGGATTTCAGTACTGGATCTTCCTGAAGCAAATCTAATAAGGAACATGTTAATGCGTACAATATATATAATAAAGTGTACATAATCTATAATGATGTGCACATTATATTAAAAGTTCAGATATCTGTTTTTCTTACTACCTTTTCCTGCTTCTTCTTTTTTTTCCTTCCTCCTTTAGCTTGGCTTTGCAGCATCTTGTCATAGCCAATTGTTTTTATTTTTCATAATTAGTTTCGATCAATTAATTTGTTGGTTTCATTATTGGATGATTAAAGAAATTAGTCCAGTAAAATTAGACTTTTTTTTTCAAAACAATTAATATACAAGATTCTGGTGTATTTTTTTTAATCTAATCGAATCGGCTGACTATCCATTCTATTCCGTTTCCATTGATTCTGGTGTATTTTTAAAAAAATCTGGAATGGAATCAATTACGAGACCATTTGTTTGAATAGCTTAAAAGTTATAAGGGTATTATTTATAAAAGTTCAAATTTGTACTTGTACTTATTTACTCATCTGATATATTTATTGAAACAAGTGAGACGGTGTTTCCTGTGGAATTTTTAACACTGGAATCGAAAGAAACTAACATGAGTCAATAGAATGAATAGTTCGGAAGTTGCATGAGTTTTAAAAATAATACTATTTTAGACCTGCGTTATACGTACCCTTTTGTATTGCTATTTAGGAGTTATCTAAACATGTAAGGTACGTGGTTTTTCCCCAAAAATATTTTACGCAGAATTAAATCAGATAAAATTTGAGTTGATAAGATAAATACTTGTAAAGACATAAGGGTCTTTTTCATTTTAAGTGCAATTCAAAAGTAGTATATTTTATACAAAAAAGTGTCATTTAAACTTTTGCAATATTAGTCTTTTTGATTCGTATTTGGTGTCACTCGAATAAACAAAAAAAAATTGTATACGAAACAATACTTCACTTTTCTGAGTAATGTAAGATGTGGAAATAAATGAAAGTACAAAAATGCACTTTCTGAAAATAAAACTCTTATAACTTCTAAACCAGTGGTTCCTGAATTTTTTAGTCTCGTAGACTCGTTGCCATGTTTTTCGGCTTTGGGCAGACCTCCTGCTTACCTAATATTGATTTTTTGTAAATTCATCAACTTCAAATATAATTTTGACAGCTGGTATAGTGCTACTCACTGTGAAAGATTTAAATTTCTAATTGTAGTGAAGTCAAGTGTGAAAAACTTGAGAAAAAAAAAACACATGTTGATTTTATACATTTATCAAATAAATTCAAAATAAAATAAACCAAATTAAAATTTAGTTTCTGTTATATAAAATAACTAATCAATAAATAAATGCTTTAAGTGGGACGGTTAGAATTTAACAATCTAGATAGTTTAGATAGTTTAGAATCTAAACTATTAGTCTGATCTCATTGGAATTGGTCTCCTCCCATTCTGCGTCAAGAATTCAAGAATAAATCATTCATTAAAACTCAACATAAAATTTATCCGAAACAACAATACATTTTATAATGGTTTGAGGATAGTTATGTAAAGTGCTCAATGAAAATTTTATTATTTTTATGCTTTTATTTTTTACGAAGAGAGAGTGTAAACTCGGGATGGTAGATGAAAAGCTCTCTCTTCATTAGTGCTTAGCAGACTTCTTACACTTCAAACAGTGGATAACTGCACTATTAATAATCGAAAGATTAAATAATTCATCATGTTAATTTTCTTAATTCCAATAACGTATCTAACAATTTGATTTTTTGCATTATAGGTGTTTAATTCATTCATTTTTGGTTCTACCAGATAGCTTGTTAAATGTTTGATTGCATAAACTTGAATAACATGTTAACAAATAAATAACAAGTTACTTAAAGTGTGAGGAAGCATTTCTTTTATTCCAGAAAAGACCTCATTTCCTCTCTAACAAATGCCAATTAAGTACTAAACAGATTATTCAGTTAATTTCAAAAATGAAATTATTTCTGACACTTAAACGAATCACCCGTGTTAATCTGAGCACCACCTACGTAATCTATAGCTTATCTCATTTCTGTACTTAAAGGTAGCATGAAATAAAAATATCTCTTATTTGTTTGAAGAGTTATAATTTCTGTTCAATTTTAAAAACAGCTTTAATCTCGACAATTTAAGATTAAAAAAAAACCTTGTTTTCGTTTCCTTCTCAAATCAAATACGAAGAATATTTTTTTCACCCGTATAACATTTAAGAGATCTCTACCCACGCCACGCCATCTCGGAATTTAGATTAAATTTTTGATTTTTGTTTTCTTGATATTTTTTTGTACTTAATAAACTTTTCATGATATAATATTATTTGACACACCCATATTTTTTTTAAAGGAAACTAAAAGGATCGTTTTATTAAATTAGGAGAAATAGAGCTTGAATAATTTCAGGAAATTCTATAAAATTTTCCACAAAACGATAAGGCAATGAAAATCTGCGATTTGTGTTTTGAATCAGTAATTTAAAGCTACGCATTTGTCACTTTTTACGTTTCTTTTCAAAATTTGATTTTATTTCAGTTTAAACTGATTAAAACTAATTTGAAGGAATGTTATAACGCAAATTATATAAAAGGAAAGATATTTACCAAAAATTTGAAACTAAACAAATGTATACTATTTAAATACCTTTCAGAAACTACTGATTTCAAAACTGTATAGATGCAATTTTGACAGAAAAATTTAAAAGAGAACTAAATTACCAAATGCTTTATATCTCAAGTTCTGATTGGGTGACGGTCTCGTATTTTACATGTATCAAAAGATACGGAGGAATAAAATGAATATTCACCATCAATTTATGTATGAAAATTAACTAAGGAGGATTAAAAGCATAATTAGAATTTTAACTCTCTGTCTTCACTCCTTTGACAGTAAAGTTTGATCGAGGGGAGAAATACCCCTGCAGTTGGTTTCATACTGCTTTCCGTTTGGTTCTCTACTCCCTTTCCCTTAACTATAGGTCATCATTGCGCATGCGTAAACTAATGCCTTGCCGAGTAAAGCTTAATTAAAATTAATTATATTGATGGAAACGTATAGTGAACCAGGTAACGAACACTATAAATTCTTTCTGAATTTTAAGACAAAGTTAAAACACGTATTTCATTTTCTTTCTCTTTGAAAAAAAAATCAGGAAGTTGCGAGTTAAGGATTATTTAGAATTATGAATGCATTATTTATAGCTTTATGCATGAGGTTTTGTGATTCAAATCATACTGACTAATACGGTTTAAAGGATGGATTTAATTGATTTCTTAGACATTTCAATGATAAAAAAGAAGAAATAAATTTACCCACTACTTGAAGCTCCTTTGTTTTCTGCACACATCTAAAATGAGGTTTATCAGTGGAAATTTGACATGTATAGTTGCCGTGGCTGTCCATACTAAGATTTTTTAAAAACACACTCTGGTTGTCTGATTTTGACATCTGAAACAAAACTCAGGTATTATTGTTAGATAATTATAGAATTGTACTTGGTTTATTAAGAGTGCATAAAATTTTCATCCATATTTGATTAGACATTTATGAAATTTATACTTTTTTGAGTGGGTCAAAATGAAATAAGCTATATTTTTGCATTAATGTAAAATTTCACTTAAATTTTGAAATAAATGAAAAATACTGAATTGTAAAGAAAGTCAGATGAAATGAAGACTAACATTCCCTTGTTATAAGTAAGAGGTACTAAATCAAGCATTTGCTGGAAACTTTAAAATTGAGTTTAATTTGTAGTTTCCCGAAGACTAAGAACAAAGACATAGAAATATTATCTGTGAATTGAGCTGCTAGTTTGGAATGTGAGCGTAAGCATTCAATGAGGAAAACTTTTCATTTATCCCCAAAATGATTGAAAAAAATGATTATAGAAAAAGAGAAGTAGCTTCTTTCTCATTAAGAAATGAGATTTATTCTCACGAATTTTACAAACTAGTTACAAAGCTTGTCATAAGATGGCGCTGATGACTTGAAAAAACTATAATAAAATAGTTGGGAAAACTGTGGAGTTGACTGATATAGAAATATGTAGACTACCCCAACTAAAAATATTTATAGGTACGTGAGTTAAATTGAGTGATTCAATTTTTCCCAGGCTGCACCACGTTATTGTCAATAGTGTCACCTGTTGATGAACTTTATAATTACATTTGAATTTTCAAAAGAATAAATTCCTGATGTTCAAATCAAAATGCATCGAACTGTGCCCCTTCGTTATTCTTTGATTTTTAAAATCGTTATCATTTTTGGATATACAAGTATATGTTTTCTCTGTTTCAACTTTTACAAGATTACATTAGCTATGCGAATAATTCTGAAAAAAAAAATTACATTTCTAATAATAACTCTTTAGTGAACTCTAATTTTGTATTGTACACGGCACTTAAATGAATATAAACAGCATTTAAAATTCCATTAAATTTACAAAGCATTTAAATTTTGCTAGAAAACACTCTAAGATATGATTTTCTGTAAAAGTAGGTTTGCTATTTATTCAAGCAATAGGAAATCTTTTCCTATAATATTTTATCCTTAAATGTGATGATTTAGACAAGAACAAAAGAGAACAAATTCGATTATGTTTTTTCACTAAAATTACGATATTCGAATAAAAAATATCACAAAAATTCTGTAGTGATCCTTTATTTAAATTTTTTAAGGTAAAATTAGAGTGTTTCATATTCGCTAAATTTGCTGCGTTAAATTTTTTTCTGCGTATTTACCAACTTATTTAGATATAAAATCTCTTTTATAAACATCTTTTATAAAATGCCCCATTTATCTTCCTCATACCACTAACTTTATCAGTCTTTACTGTTTTTTTTACTGAAGTATTAATAACTCTACTAAAAGAAAGTAACAACTCTAGTTTACATAGAGAACATAATTAGTATTAATTAATGATTCCTAGCGTTCTTCAAGTTTATGGTTACATAAGTTTTAATTAATGAATTATATGGAGAAAGTTATCGAATATTAACTTTAAGTAGTGAAGGTTCTGAGGAAACTTATTTTGCTGTAATTAATCAAACCAGGCTATTCGGTAGGAAAATGGAAAGTAAAGCTACAGCTAATTGAACCTGATCTTTGTAAAGTTTGACACATGAAAAGCTTTCTTACTGAAATAATTTCAAAGCCTCCAGATTTTATTTCTGCATGTTTGAAAAAATGTACACCGGCTGTTCTTTAATCACCTCTTTAATGCATATTTTACTAATATTTGTCAAAAATGAAGACAAAAAAAATATACTCATTAGTGTAGATAGTGTGGTGCAGCGGTTCCAAATTTTTTTCGGCTAAGGAACCCTAAGTGATCGACCTTCTTTCAAAGGAACCCTGAGACTCAGAGGAAATTTCATTAGCAATTATGAAAAATATTCTGTAACTAATGACCATTATTTATTTTGAAAATTTTTCGTAAATTTAATTTTTTAAAAAGGTTTTGAAAATATTTAATGAATGAATGAAGAATGAAATATTTTTATCGCAAAGTTTAAAGAATACTAGTTAAAATTGGGTTTTATGTCAGACTGTTTAATTAGCAATTTCATCTAGCCTATTTTATAATTTCTTTTATTTTATGCATAAACTAAAAATGAAAAAGCCGAAATACGGTTTTCGTTTTAATAAAAATAAAGAAAAACTAAAATAAACGTTCAGAACAGTTAAAAAATCATTATTAAGAAACTAATGGAAACTTAATTGAATATAAATTTCACTGCAGCGCTTTGTAGCTGATAACGTTGTCCTAACTTTCGGAACTTCTGGGACATTTCCATGGAACACAAGGGTTCCGCGGAGCACCATCTGGTAAACTACTAATGTAGCTTATTTAGTGAAGTATTCACATTTACACTAATATGTTAAATAAATAACACTTAAGGAAAAAAGAAAAATGCATTAGAAACTGTTGAACCACAGTAATACAGGCGGGATGCGAAGGTCAAAACCAGTTTGATCACCTAAAGACTCTAATAACTCTTACTTTCTCTTTGTTTCTACAATCAATCAAAAGGAATATTATATTTTCAGTTACACCTTCCTCAGAAGTGATATCACCAAATTTCAAAACCGTTTTAGTTTTCTCCTTACTTGAAAATTACTAGCCGATTTTCAATGTGTATATTAAACGTTCTTTAGAAAAGGATTTTAAAAATATCTATATTAAGTAGTGATTTCGCAAGTTATAGTACACTATCTACCAATAAGTATTTGGACACCTATGCAAATGACTATATCTGCGGTCCTGAGATACATCATACCTTCCGCCGGTATATATCGTGCAGGGAACAACATCGGCATTAGTCCCATGCAAGAAGCCTACTGCACTATTTTGGATGACAATATGCTTCCTACGTTGTGACAGTTTCACTGGGTGTACCGTTTTTACTTCCAGGACGACAATGCCAGCTGTCATGTTGCAAGGGTCACCAAGGCTTGGTGTCGTGCCAGGGGGGTTAATCGAATGGACTGGCCTGCCCAGAGCCCAGACCTGAACCCTATCGAGAACCTCTGAAACGAGTTGGATCGCCGAATTAAGGGGTGTACTACCGTCTAAAATCAGTGAAGGAACTTACAAGTCTTCTCCAAGCCGAGTGGAAGAAAATACCCCTAGCCGCCACAAATGGACTTGTGGAAAGTATGCCCTAGAGGGTTCACATTGTAATTGCCTCTCGTGTCAATTGATTATGAATAAAGTTTGTTTTTCTTTTCAATCACACATGTCCAAATACTTATTGGTAGATAGTGTATATCCCAAATTGAATGGCTAAAATTCTTCTACTATAATAGTCAGATGATCAAATGGGATGTTTGAAATAACCCTATGATGAAAGTTTACCCATTGATGGTCTGAAATATGACGGGGATATCATAATACACTGTTAGAATTTTTATTCAAAATTATGATGAACTAACCGGCAACAGTCTGTTCAAAAGAAGGTAAAAAGAACATTTTTTACCTTCACGGTTGTGAAACTGTTTACAAAAAACATAGTTATAAGACCATGAATACAAAACTGTACGGATTTTTTTAACCATTTTCAACTAACATGGTTTCAGCACCGTAGAAAAGAAATTTAACTGGACATCTAGGCTTTTTATTAGGTAATTGGCGTTGTAGCGTGCAGGACAATGGAAACTCTTCATGTTTGGAAGAGAATATTGTGGTGCCAACGTTGGGATCCGAGCCCTAGTTCTGTCGGTCATGATATTGACAGAATAGCCCTCTCATCTATAACATGAACACAGTTGCTAGGAACTAAGTGGTTTTATTGGATGGACTTAGTTGGTTCGAAAACATTCTGGTTTTTTAACCGTATTAGGTGAAATCAGTCAAAAAATGGTTTTTCTCACAGTTAACAGTGCGAGTACCATCTTATTTATAGTTATTTGATTGTTTTGTTTGAATATGGTGAAATAACAATTAAATAAATTGTTATTTATTTAATTGTTATTTTACCGTATTCTAGAAATTTTTTCTAGAAATTTATAACAGTGTTCGGGGATATTTTAATAACTGATTTCTACAGTTTGTTAAAATGCAGCAAATGTTTTCTTAAGAAATTTAATGAAATTAAAGTTATTATTTATGATTTGTTTGACAAAATACTACAGTATAAATAACATTGATCATAGCCTTATAGCTGAATTTCTTGGCAGATTTTGACTTAATAAGTTACTCGACATATTTAATTTTTGATATTTTAAATACATTTTATATATTTCTCGAAATAAAATTATTGAAATTGTTGAACGGCATAGACCAGCACTTCCAAAATGTTGCTCTGTAGAACCCTAGGGTTCCGTGGAAGAGTTAACGATATTTTGAGACTTAGTGCTTTTTTTTAACCCGTAATTATTTTGAAACTTTTAATTATATTAAAATCAAATTAATAAACCACTATTTATTCAGCATTTCGTTTGCCTTTATTAAATTATTTAAACTAAAATGAAAATAAAAAATATATTGCCCTTTTTAAACAAAAAAAAATTACATTTTGTTTCAATAACAATACGTGGAATAAATAATGAAAAAGACATGCATTTAAAAAAAATCCCATGCATATTTCCCACAAGGGATCTTCAAATCAAACTAAATAGGATGTTAAAGAAATATATTTCCCTAGAATTCATTTTCAACGCTTATAGCAGTTCATTTTAGTTTTTATTTAAAAGAAAGTCATAATTTGGCTCATTTTATATTTTTTAAGTTTATGAAAATACTAAAAAACAAATTCAGTACAAGGCTGGACAAAGCTCCAGGACTGCAAATTTAGTTGTTGGACATAAAATCTATTATTATGAGTTTTTCTATCATTATGAGTTAAAATCTTTATTATGAGTTTTTTAACTGAATTTCTTAGCATATTTTTAATTGGCATTTTTAAGTAAATTAAAGGTTTGATATTTTTAAAATATTATACATTTTTAAAATAAAATCAATGTTGTTGATCGGTGTAGACGTTACAATAAGAAGCAGGAATATGGTACGGTTGTTTTTTTTCAGATAGAACTTGTTACGGTTAACATTTTATTGTGTGTTTTATTCTTAATACATGTAAACACTTTGTTCCTCGAAAAATTTATTAAAAAAATTCTTCTTAACACTTAATTTTGACCACATTTTGTTAATCTTCCTTAGACGAATAAGTATTCACATTTTATTTCCTCATCTTAGTTTTTAGATTTTTAACTTTCTTTGTTTTTTTAAAACATTTCTTGGGGTTTATTTTGCATTTGTATTTTGTTTTAATATTAACTTTTGGTTTCATTGTTATGAAAAATTTGTTTCATTCGAAAATAATATGCTTCAACGTATTTAAAAAAAAAAAACAGAATAATCGATGGTTCAGTTTTTGCTGTGTATTCTTTTTACCAATATATGCTAAAATTTCGCTTGTGTTTCATTCCTAATACTACAGTAGCCAACACTTTAGTCTTCTAATTATTAATTGACTCATTCTGTTATTCTTTATAATTGTAAATATTGTAAACATTTAATGTAGTTAACTATTTACTTCTCTTCCTAAGAATTATAACTGTCTCAGATTTTACTTGCTCATATTAATAGTTGGTATTATTAATATTTTATCTATTAATCCTATTATTCTTTAATCCTTTAATTGTTTTCATAAAATGTTTAAAACATGAACGATAAAACTTTAAAATCCATTCTGACTTTATCAATACGCTTTCTTAAACGCTTCTTCATGCCTAACTGGCTTATTGCGCCCACTTTTAAAGTTTAAAGAAAACGATTAGTTGATACTGTAGAATGTAATAATTGATACTTTTTAGTTTATAATGTAGTTTTTAGGTCATATTTCTGCTTACTTTTGTAGGATTATAACATGATGATTAAATTTATCGCATGTAGGGACTGAATTACTACTTTGTGTGTGAGCAAAGTTTTAAAACTGTGTTTTTCTTGCTTCCTTCCAAAAGCATATGTTGATTAAAAATAGAAACGAGGAATTTCTATTAGCCTCTTGAAATGTATTCATATTAATCATATATGAAACAAATATAAAACTTCCAAACCCATTCCATAACTTTCTTTTTTTTTAAAGAGTTTAGTTCTTTAATACGTAGAAAGTATTTCTGTTATATTTCTTACTAACTTCCAATAATATTTATTGAATAAAAACAGAATAAAATAATTTTGTAAGCGTAGAGAATTTCGTTCATATTAAGAATTTATGCAGAAATATAAAATATACTTATCTATTTTTAATCTATAATTTTAGGTCTTATTTCTGTAAAACGTAGAAAGTGTTTTTGTTATATTTCTTGCTTCATTCCAGTAATATTTATTGAATTAAAACAGAACAGAATAATTTCTGTTGCCATTGTGAAATTCGTTTATATTAAGTATTTATGCAAAAATATAAAATTTCCTAATAAATTATTTATCTTTTGTTTTAAATTTTAATTCTGTAACTCGAAAAAAGTGTTTCTGCTATATTTTTATTTACTCCAATTTATTTCATTCTGTCATACAATAAATGATAATATAAACAGGAAGAAAAGAAAAGAAGAAAATCTGCTTTAATAATGATTTTCTGAATTTATTCTTTAGTTTCAAATCATTCTTTCGCACATCATTCATTCAAATATGTACTTTATGCAATGAGGAAATAAACTTAAGAACAAGAATAATGGTGAAAAATTAAAATATTTAAATTAATTAATCTGCTTTACAATAAGTATTTTTGTCTTCATTGCTACACGATATCTTTAAAGAATTAACTTCTAAGCTTTTCCTGTAACTAAAATAAAGCAAATAACCAAATGATTCAAAATAAATTCAATTAAAAATAATTAAAGAAAGTGATAAACTCATCAATATATAGCCGTGGTGGCTCACGGGATAGAGCATTCGGCTTTTAATGAGGTGGGCGGGTTCGAATTCCAGCGATGGCTAGTCGATATGAATTCCGCGCCCGGTTCGCATCTACCACAATGCTGACGTAAAATATCCTCAGTGGTAGATGGATCATAGGTTAGTGCCCCCCTGCTGTCAGGCTATCCGTGTAAGGTTTACGTGATTTTCCTATCCATGTAACGCAAATACAGGTTACCTTCATCGAAAAGTTCTCCGCGAAGGCAAATTTCTTCGAATATTTGATCCAGGAGTTTCCTTGTCTTCTGGATTGGGTTCAAAATTACAAGGCTACAGAGCTGAACGTTCGTAGTCGTAAACCCAATACTGGGTTGGATGTTCAACAATAGTTATAAAGAAACCGCTCACCAATAGAGCTGGTAGTTAAAATGTTTACCGTAGTGTGGCGCTGAAACTGCTATGGCGAAAGTGTTTACCATTTCGTCACGCTTTGAAAAAACGCATCGTTTCTACATGCTCTTGCGTCATAGTTGAAGCTCTTTATTTCTCCACTGCTTAAGCGTAAGAAAATTCAAAGAGAATTACTATCAATGTATTGCTGAAAATGTTTTGTTCTTTTATTTCAGCACGTGTACCAAACGATTTCTTGTTTTCTGTTCATATTTTCTTTTGATATCTTTTGTCAAACCTTTACCCTTCTTAACAATTGTTGATTGCATATTGTTTGTACTTTAACATATATATTTGTTTATTTTTTGCTGTGCTTTATTGCAGTTATTGTTGTTCAAATTTTGCTTGTTTTTCTTAACATTTCTTGTAGTTGACGGTATTTTATTTCTTTGTCTCAAATTTTTGCTAAGATTGTTTTATTCAAAAATGGAACGCGTGAACTGAATTTATTGAAATTTTTCCTAGAAAATCCCAATATAGGAATAATAAATCACATGATTAGCATTCCTTCAAACGCTTTTTACAACTATAGAATAAAAAAATGCAGCTGGAGGAAGTCTTTACAAGGTGAAAAACTGATTTTTGATCATAAATGTATTCTCACTTTTCGCATTTTCTTTGATGGATTTTAAATAACTTTCATACATTCATCTTTACCGTGAATGGAGGATTGAATTTTCTTTGGCAACTGGTTTCCGAAGATAAACTGTTTTCCATTTTCGTAAACTATTTTGTTTCCTCTTTCAAAAAACAGTGAGAACAGTGGGAGGTTCAACTTTTATGATAAAAAAGGAAAAAAAAACTACACAATTTTCCTTCAAAAGTTACTGAATGATTTATGGCGGCAGAAAAACTTATGTAAATGGCATAAATTATATTTACTTATCATGGAGTTTCAAAAATATGACAGCTTTAAAATATTTTGCTATTTATTCATAAATTCGCAGAATAATTTTCACATTTACTGAAAACATAAAACATGTTTAACGATAAATGAGAAATATTATTTTCAACAAAAATAAATCATTTCTCTTCAAAGTGCATAAACAAAACAATATTGAAGAAAAAAGGTTTTTAAAATTCAGCGAGTAAATACTACTGACAAAAATGCAAAGCAGAAAAGTGGTATTTTATATAGGGTGTCCAATAAGTTCTCATATAGTATTTATATCATTAAATCCCTTCTAGAGAAAAACTCAAGTAAAAATATTTTATCTGATAACAATGAACTTGGTTATAAGAGTTTTAATAACTTACATAATTCAACAGAGATTCTTATTTTCTTCTGTTTGCAGCAATCAAATAAGTACATCATCTTCCAACACGAAATGATAATTTTTTCTGGTCCAACAGTAACTAACTTCATTTGATGATTTATCATAGCATTGACTTCACATATACTATCATTACGTGATAAATGTTGTTAATGACCAAAGGTAACTCATGGGTTGATCATCAAAATAGTAAAGCATCATCTTCCAACATAATATGATGCATATTCTTGGTTCAACAGTACCAAACTTAATCCGATGGTTAACCATCATAGCAGAGAATAACATCTGTTTCAACAGTACCAAACATAATATAACGGGAGACAGTCACACAGTCATAGCAACGAAACATCTTACATCATAAGTTGTTAACATTTTATTGGCCCATGAAAATCAAATATTTCTTGATGGTCAACTATTATAGTATTAAAACAACATTTTCTATCCTGAAATGATGGAAGTTTGTAAGTATATCAAAAACCATGAACACATGATGAAAAATGTTGGATGATAGTGACCATCCTATAGTGTTGGACCATCAAGAAACGCGTTGAAACCGACATAAATAATCAAAATCCTTCGATGGCACTATCAAGAATTTTGACGTGGATTTTACTGAAAGTTGGAAAATGCAATTAAATTAATATAATAACACCTATTATATTTATCTAATTCTAATAAGGTCACTATTTTGTATTTAAAATATTTTGAAAGTTGGGTACATTAAATATACACCATACAACACAATGGTTTATAATGAAATTAAGATTATTATAATCGCACTAAATCTATACCCCCCCTCTTAAACGGTTGAGTTTGGTTTGAAGGAAAGAGCCCCATAAGTCGTGCAAGAAAAATAACATTAAAAATTTTCGAAATAATCATAAAACTTACATCGACCTGAACGCCGACTTGTGGGAGGATTTTAAAAGATGGGTTGGAACCTGGTACATATCTAAAAAACTCTCTCATATTTTTGTACCATTTGACGGCATATAAAGTTTCATTTCCAAGCTCATACCAGCACTGTAAGTGAACACTGTCTCCTGTAACTACAGGACTGGGAATGTGAAGCATGCTTATTCGAAGTGGAACGTCGGGGCGAGAACCTGGAGAAATAAGAAACAAGACATTCTAAAGTATATTTTATTTTTTTTAAGTGCAAATTATATTTGCAATAACTTGATATAAAAATTAAGTTTTCTAAATTTCTATTATGATTCAAATAATAAGTGCAAATATTGCCTAAGCAATTTAGTCATTAATTAATAATTAAAAATAATGTTAATCGATTAGTAATTAATAATTATAATAATATATTTATAATAATTATAATTATAATAATTATAATTATAATAATTATAATTATAATAATAATAATTAATAATTATTAAAATAATTATAATAATAATTAATTGACAAAAATTATTATTAGTCAATAATTTGTTATTAATTAATGGTTAGTTTTAAGTAAATAATCCCAGGAAATGGAAGTGGTAAGATATTACTCAAAAGAAAACTAAATTTGGTTCAAAAATATGAAATACGTCGTTTGAAACATGTCGACTTTTATTTTCATCTGCATATTTTTGAAGCCAAAGAAGATTTTTTTAATCAAGTATGGGTTAGTTTGCTAATTATCAAAAATAATTAATTTATAATTTTCTCTTTAGCTAACACTTTTACTATTTCAGTTATGATACAAGAAGTTACTTAATTCAAAAATATACAAATTGGAAAAAACTGTTGACAATTAAGAGCTCATAAAACAGGCGCCAATTTCTAAAACTTGACAGACGTTAATGAGATTTAAATGAAAAATATTTATGACTAGAAACAAAAGGGAACTTCACAGAAAATCAAACTCCAGAATAGCTACATATATTGATTATATGTAGATAGTTTTGGTTCGAACTTGCAACTAACACATGCGTTTGAAAGTAAATAAATTTAGAAGCAAAATTAAATTTCATATTGTTTCTTTAAAATGTTCTGAGGTAATCGTTATGATATTTCGTTACTACCATATTCATTATTATTTAAGAAGTTTTTGCTTCAAGTACCTACAATATATCGAAATGCCTACAATACCTAGATCGAAATACCTGCAATATATTATAAATAAAACAGTAATTTGTATGTTTTAATAAGTTTTTTTTACGTTATTTAACAAATTTTTAAGCTATTTTGTCTTTCTATTTTAAATGGCAATCTAAAGTGCATCAGGTACGGGAAAACGTGATTCTCCTCATGGAACGCGCCATTATTTTCACATTGGAACAAATTACTAGACTTTTATTTGGTTTCTCAAATCACTTTAATTCCTGGGATTTCGGAAAAGTAACTTAGCAAAGAACACAATTTAAAAATGATTTTAGTTTGAAAGGTTATGGCAAGATACTGTAGACTGAATAACAATGATAAGCAATAAAGTTTGTTAAAGAATACTTTTGTTAAACTTTTCGATGATAGCCAATTTAGGTTCTCTTATCTAATTAATCTAATTATTATTTCTAATTAATCTGATTCTAATTTACTATTTTTAGCTAATCCGACTACACGTTGCACAAAAAATATGTATTACGATATGAATACTCACAAATAACTGGTACGGAAGCAACAAAGAGGAAAAGCAAGTTTTCAATGATGCAAGCAGCAATAGGTGGCTCCTTGAGCATTTCTCATTCAGATTTTATTATGACTCTCAGCCTCTTGTTAATGAATATCCCTTAGGTAAATTATCTGAAAAATAAATTACCAATTTTCATTATAATATGCAGCAGAAATTAAGAAGCAAAACATTCACAAACTATGATATTTTTTTCTAAAATACTAGTAATTATATACTTAATGCATTCTTGCATAGTACAAAAAATCTATTCGCTATTATATACCACCAAATCACAGTAAAACAATGAGTTAAATAGGAATGGCAATATTTTTTAAAACAATAGTAGTTATATACGTGCAACGCATTCTTACATAGTACACTGTATCTATTCACTATTATATGCCATCAAATCACAATAAAGCAGTGAATTAAAGAGGAAAGGCAGTATTTTTTAAAGTAATAGTAGTTATATACATACAGCGCATTCTTACATAATACACTGCTTCTATTTACTATTATATGCTACCAAATCACAATAAAGCAATGAGTTAAATAATAGCAACGTTTTTAAAGCAATAGCAGTTATATACATGCAATGCATACTTGCATAGTATAATGTATCTATTCACTAGTATATGCCATCAAATCACAACAAAGCAATAAGCGAAATAGGAATGACAATGTTTTTTTTTAAAGCAGTAGTAGTTATATGCATACAATGCATATTTAAATAATACTATTCATCGGAGCACTATCAATAGCAACATGCCATAGAATCACAATGAAGCAATAAACATAATAAAGATTGGCATATAGAACTTGGACGGATATTTAAATAATACTATTCACCGGAGCACTATCAATCACAACATGTCATAGAATCGCAACGAAGTAATAAACGTAATAAAGATTGGCATAAAGAGTTTGAACGGATCCTTAAATAATACTATTCATCGGAGCACCATCAATCACAACATGGCATAGAATCACAATGAAATAAAAAACGTAATAAAGATTGGCATATAGAGCTTGAACGGATACTTAATTAATACTATTCATCGGAGCACCATTAAGCACAACATGCCATATAATCACGACAAAGCAATAAACGTAATAAAGTTTGGCATATAGAACTTGGACGATAATAAAATTCCACGATATAAATATGATAATCGATTTTTTATAATTGATTTAAAATGCATCCCATTCTTCTAAGACATGCCTTTGTTAATTCTTTAAAAGTTTGCTTTAAACATTTTTGAAATCTGTAATTATAATTAACTATATTTAAAAATCCATCATTCACCTATTTCTATTGCTTCATGAAATTATTTAATGCTAAATGCCAAGTGCCGGAATTAATTAAATGCCAAAAAGAGAGAAATGAAAATTTTAAAAAATATATATAATTTTTCTAACAATAATTATGAAGTAGAATAAAAAGGACATTTATTCATAAAAATTTCAAAAGCATTACGCTTTGCTATTTTCAAATTAAATTACAATGACTGAATTCTTTTATAAAGAAATATGTTTCCATAATATTCATTTTTAATACTTTTAACAGTTCTTGTTTTATAGCAATTATTAAAAATAAATTTTCAGCTAGACTAGATTCCTCTTCAAGACTGCAAATTCAACTGTCGAACATAAAACATAATTTAAAATTATTAAACGATAAAACAATGAAAAAAAATATTATGATTAAATATTGAAAAGTTCAAAAATCAAAATAAAGTCAATTTTTAATGGTTAATACGTACATAATTTCAATTATTTACTTTAACTATGAGGTCGGGTTCCCGTCGTCAGAAACTTGTAATCCATAGCAGGAAAAAATAGGAACCGCTGCCTTATTCTATTCGTTCACTCAGTTTAACTGATCATTCAATTTCCTTTCGACTCACATTTTCGCTCACTGATTCAATCACAGTATTATTTACTCATTTTTTTGCTTGTCCTTCACTACTACATTTTTTACAACTACACTTTTTACTACTACTTTTACTAATTAGGCGTCCACCTATACTACTTTATTATTATAGTTTGCTTTCTTATCTGCGCACTATTCTATTAACTTTATCATTCATTCACCATACCTTAAATTGCCTCATTCAGTTCCTCACCATTTCATAAATTCATTAATTCACTCCTTTGCTATTTTCTCCATCCATCATTCCCTTAACTCGCTCATTTATGATGAAACAAGTAATGAGACTGTTATATTAACTTTATCAATTACTCACGATTGTTAAAAACTCACTCATTCGGTTCCTCATCCTTTCGTAAATTTATTAATTCACTTCTTCACTATTTCATCCATTCACTGTTTCATTACCTCGTTTACTTACAATTTTTCGGTGAACCAAATAATGAGACTATTATATTAACTCTATAATTTATTCATGGTTCTTCATTCTGTTCCTCACCCTTTCATCAATTTATTAATTCACTTCTTTACTATTTCATTCATTTACTGTTTCATTACCAAGTTTATTTACAATTCTTTGGTGAACCAAATAATGACACACTATTATGTAAACTCTATCATCTATTCATGATTCTTTAAACTCACTCATTCGGTTCCTCATCCTTTCATAAATTTATTAATTCACTTCTTTACTATTTCATCCATTCACTGTTCCATTACCTCACTTATTTAAAATTCTTGGGTGAAGCAAATATTGAGACTATTATATTAACTCTATCATCTATTCATGATTCTTCATTCTGTTTCTCACCCTTTTATCAATTTATTAATTCACTTCTTTGCTATTTCATCCATTCCCTGTTCCATTACCTCGTTTATTTACAATTTTTCGGTGAACCAAATAATGAGATTATTAACTCTATCATCTATTCATGATTCTTCATTCGGTTCCTCATCCTTTCATAAATGTATTCATTCACTCCTTTCCTATTTCATCCATTCACCGTTCCATTACCTCGTTTAATTACAATTCATTGGTGAACCAAATAAAGAAACTTTAAATAAATTTTATAATAATTGAATTAAAATATAAAGCTCTTATCTCATGAACTATGTATTAAAATGTATAAAAAGAACAAGTAATGTTTTTTTTAAATGTTATTATTAAATATTTCTTAAGTAAGCCTTTACTAAAAAAGTTTTTGTGACAACTATATTTTATCCTAGCAGCAAAATATTTTTATTGGTTTTTATGTGTATTTCTTATCTTAAAATTGCAAAACAGAATGTCAAAAGTGACAGAAATTATAGCCTTTCCTTAACATTTTACGGATGAGAAAATATGTTTTGTTTTTGAGCTGACATGTATCTTTCAACTCTTTTTTGAGAAAGTTTTAATTTTTTTAAAAAAAAGTTTTGACGAAAAATAGAATATTTTCTTCCTGAATAAGCAAGCAAAAAAATCAGATGCATTACCAGTTTCTGACATTTCTTTGAAATTATGTCATAAAAACTTTGTCAAAAAATAAAATAACGTAGAATTGAAAAATCAATATGTTTATCCAAAATTATCTACTTTTTTAATAATTTTAACTATCAATACAAAGGAAAGATTTCTCTCCGAGAAAGTAAATGCAATAGTAACAAGTCATGATTTAAAATTAAGATAAATTTTGTTTTGCTTAGGAAATGTTCAAGGTTATTAAACAGTAAGGTTTACTTTTCCCGAGTTTTATTAGCCTCTTCTTCAGAGAACTCAATTTATGACGTCACGTGCTTAGTAGACGCTTAAGCTATCATATCTTTTGTTGTTATTCCTATTATTAGCAACTGCTTTGAAGTTTAAAATTTATGTTGTTGTTGCTCATTTACGTCTCACTAGAGCTGCACAATGGGCTATTGGCGACGGTCTGGGAAACATTCCTGAGGATGATCCGAAGACTTGCCATCACAATTCTGATCCTCTGCAGAGGGTATGGCACCCCGCTTCGGTAACCCGACGACCTACACGCGAATTAAAATTTATATTTCAGCTTATAATTTAATCGCATACAAATTACTATTTGAATGCATTTTGCTTAAAGCTTTTATTGAAATTTTAAAAAAGAGTTTATCGAACTTATATTGAACTACTAATAATATAATTTCTAATATTAAAAAAAGTTTAGTTTGCCATCATATATTCAATGCAAATATTAAAGCTGTACTTTTACACATCGTAACATAAAATAAGGAACTAAATACTGTTATGGACACTCCTGTAAAACGGACGCCTCTCAATACGGACACATTTTTAATTCCCCGGGAATCTTCTATGAATAAACCATTATGTACATTCTCCGCAAAGCGGACACTCCCGTAACCGGTCGCGGACAGTTATTTTGGCCCTGAACCGTTATTTTCCATCTCTTCAAACCGGGCACTGTGCTCGACTTCGCTAGCAGGTCGTCGGGCTACCGAAGCGGGGGTGCCATCCCCTCCGCAGAGGATCAAAATTGTGATGGCATGTCTTCGGATCATTCTCCGGGATGCTTCCCAGACCGTCGCCAATAGCCCATTGTGCAGCTCTAGTGCGACGTAAAATTAACAACAACAACAACAACAACAAACCGGGCACTACTTTTTTTAAATTTGAAAAAATAATGTTTCTGCTTTAAATTACAACGAAAAAAATGCAATTTTTTGTCATTTTTAAAACATATAATTTTTTTGCCTTATCCATAACTAAAAATAATGTTAAGCTATTTCACTACTGAAGAATCAATCTTTCTCCTGTCACCTTGCCTTATCGTTGTAAAGAAAGGAGAGAAACTGATGCTGCTCTCCTGAAATAATTCGGACAGCGGCATCTTTTGATATTTTCATATGGATCACACAGGTTATGAGACCCCTTAAGTTGAAATGGCATCTTAAATGCTCTCAATGATTCTTCCCCATTGAAAATTTCTATAATTTTCTTATCAATTTGAAGACTGTATTTAACACAGCTGGGAAAAAAAGAGAACTGAAACGTAATCTTCTTCTTCTTCTTTCAAATCCCCATTTCTCGCCTAGCTAGACAAGGTCCATGAGATTGTTCACCTTCAAAAAGTCTAAAACAAGTAAGGGTCTTTCAATAAGGTCTTGTTTTAAAAGACCGAGGCAGTCCAGTAGATGTTCAGGGGATGCCTGGGCCGAAGAGCACTTGGTACAGAGGGCAAA